ATAAATTGATTCCCAGACTTTTTTTTCTTATAGATGTACTGGTAGCTTTTAAATTGTGAAAACTGAATGTGTTTGGAATGTGAAGAAGGGAAAATTTTTTCCTTTGTCTCTCAGCAGTTATGTTTATGAGACCATCCTAATGTTCATAAAAAATTTGTAGGTTCCTGCTTGTTATTGGCGGCAAAATTTAATGGTGATATGAAAAAAGAGAAAATCAAAGAGGTCATTGAGGTATGATACCACACCTATTTTGTTATAAATTTGTGAGTGGAAATAATTATGCAGGTATCCAGTTCTCACCAAGGTGAATTTCGGCTGGGGAATCATTACATGCAATCAACTGAAGACAATACTGTGGTATCCATTAATCATATCAGCTAAATCATTCTAATTCATAACTCTTCACTTCAATCTGATCGAGTAGTGATAATGCTACATTTTTTCCCAGAACATCTAGGTGATCACACTTCAGAATATACAGACTAGGGCAATTTTAAATTGTGTTTTCAAAGTAATCTGAGACTGTGTTCCTTTTGTTTTATTTCACTCTGTGATTGGTCTAGAAAACTCCCACCTCTCTCTCAATCAATCAGATACAAAACTGAAACCAATCACCATTTGGTCATCCACATTTACCACTTTCTGCAGTTTTGCTTTTATTTTGAGTTCATTGGCTCTTAAAACGTATTTCCTTTCTTCTGATTGTCTGTTGTAATTACTATTCAGAGCAGAAATCAGATTTAGTGATTCATCCTCAAAGTCGTTGTCTAAGCCCAAGATTCTACTAATTGGGTGTTGTTTCTTTGTTCACCTTACAGGCCATTGAGGACAGGCTTCGCATATCAGTAAAAGAGCTCATTAGATTTGAATTCCAAGTTGTTGTTGCTCTGGAGTTTGATCTACATATCCCACAGTGGGAGATCTTACCGCATGTCAAACGAATGGAAACAGAATAACTTCATAAAAATCCATCCATGTACATTTATTTGAGTATTGTTACTGCCTGTTCTTAATTCAAATAATGAAATTTCTCAGGAATGTGATGTTAAGTGTTGGGTTTTTTAAAGGGTAAAGTTGCTTTGTGAAACACAGGGTTTGTATGGGTCATAAAAAGATGTGAAAGAAATGGAGTTATCGAATCAGCTGTCATTTTTCCAAAATAATATTTTCCATGTTTTTTTTCATCACCGTAGTACAAACCTCATAACTTTCAAGGCTTGGAAACTCAAGTGATTTGAGTGTACATCTTTGCAACGTGTTTAAAAACATGATTTGAAAGGAAAAAAAGAAGTTGCCGAGAGAAGTTATTTTTGAATTATTTAGAAAGCGAACTAAATTTGTGGTTATGAAAATGTGAGAAAGCAATAGAAAGAGAATGCAGCTCATGAAATTTCATGGGCAGGAAATATTACAAACCACTCACTGTCAGGTCTTATGTGGAATACACTATATTTGGGTGTGGTCATTCAGTTTGGGATGCAATTTTGTGACTGTTATAACTTTCTGACTTAATATTAATGAGACAATATTAGTGTTTATAATCCAACTAAAACTTATCCCCCAACTAAAAATTGTATCAGAGAACATCGCATTGAAAAATGTTAGAAGGATAATTAACACTATAGCCTCCATTTTGCACAGAAATATGCTTGTATATTTATCTTTGGACGTTATCTGTTCCTCCAAGCTCACATTTCGGAACAGATAATGTCCACGAATAAATATCCCAGGCGCGTAGCGTGCTCATTTTTTCAAGGACACACAAGTACATATGATCTAGAAACCTAAGTAAACTGAGCGAAAAATACCGCGTTCTTTATTTCTTGTTCGAAATAGTTGTGTGAATACAAGCAAAGAACAAAGCGACTCGCCGTTATTTTGAGCAAACTTGGAGCAAACACAACATTGTTTTCAAAAATTTCTGGTCACTTCAAGTACGCACGTGTGTATATGCCTATAGGACGCTATGCGCCTGCATCCATGCATGTTTTTGCACCATATGCAGGCTATTGTTTATAGATAGTGGAGATGGTGAGGTAGTTACACACATTACTCAATTACTCTTTCATGTTTAATTAATGAAGGCAAGTGGACTCCAGACTTTATAGTGTCTATCATCATAGATTATACTTCTAAAAGAACTTATGGATCTCTTGATATCCATAAATAAGCAGCACAATAGCCATGTGACATATTCCCTCATTTTTGGTGAAGTTTTGTGTGTTAAAAAAACCGACTAATTTTGATCTCGTGATTCCTCAAAGAAGTTCATTTTCTGTTATTGGAAGAATCCGTGTTAGTCACTTGATGTGAGTACTTTATTTCAAAATTAACGTAAGTTACTGGTATCACTGTTTTAAAATCCTTTGAAAAGGAATCATAAATGTTTGCCGTTCCAGTTTGTACTTGAAAGTACCAGTTACAGTTGCTTAAAAATTTTAAGATAACCTCGTATTTTCAGCACAACATCTGTGTGGACATAAATGTGCCATTTCTTAAATTTAAGGTTAGTCTTCTCATAATTATTAAGACAGTTAACTGGGGAAATCAACTAGATTTATGGGAAAACAAAGTTACACGTTGTAATATGGGTGTAAATATAATATATTGTTGGGACATGTTTGATATGGATTATAAGATTCCTGTTTATGGGAAAGTTTTTGTAAATTGAGATTGTAAGGAATTGTAAATTTTGTAAATAATAAAATATTTTATACATTAATTAATTTTTTTTTTACAGCACAGATTGCTTTTTATTCGCAGAGAAGACGGTTGTCGAGGCCCCCGGTGCCCCTTCTGTTAGAAAGCGTGTTACTCGGGCAACTCACAGGAGTGATCAGTCCTCAATTTCTCCTTTAAGTTTGAATACACAAATCATTAAACTTCAAATGCTTACTCTTCAACAGCTTGTGAAGAGTTACAACAAAGTGAAGGGTGTCTAGACTGGACAAAATCTATAAGTCGCGGAGAAGTAGATCAAATTCCGAGGATGTACCAACAAAGAAATGTATTGCCACCAAATGGGAGAAAGAACCCACAGATCTTGGAAATTTAAGGCTGAAATAGTATATCCTACGAGGAAGACGTCATTTTTTGGCGTTTTTCAGAGTCGAGGAGTGTAATGCAAAGTGATGAGGAGATTTAGTAACGTGAAACGGTAAACGTCACCTTGCCCCTTCACGTTTCACGTAAGACAGCGAGAACTTTGCTGCTTTAGCTTCGCCTGAGCTCACGTCGCTTCACTGGAGGCCGACTCATGAGTTAACGTGGGGTTAAAATGAAGAAAAGTGCCGCATTTGAAGGATTTTCAACGTGAAACTTCATCTGCCCTTATATGGCATACAGGAAATAGTTTTGGTGCGCTTTTTTCCGGCAATTCACTTTTACGCTGCGCGAGATAAGAGAATGAAAATCTTACGCACACGACAAACGCGAAACAGCTTACTTTCACCGTGATGGAAGCGGCAAAGTGCAACAGGCGAAAGTAAAAAAAATGGCGNTCCTGGATTCTAATTTCTCCTTACAGTGTCAACCTTGAATCAGATATAAAGGTCACGAGAATCAAGGAAATGATCACTAATTCAGGAAGCTCCTGATTAGCAGACAAATTTTCTTTGTTGGTACCACACTGAGGAAATGTAAGATAACAGTGTGTGGCTAGGGTTTATCATTCTCTTTCCAATTATTCGTGTGCTTTCGCTTTCCCTTTCGTTTTACACCTTCAATCCCTGTCGCCGCTATCATCAACCTTTTTCACTCTTTCTTCTTTTCGCCGCTGTTTTTTCTTCTCGAGTTTTGTGCTTTTTTCGTTGCTGTTGTCAGGAGCCCATTGTTTAAACGGCTCCTGTTATTGTTGTAATTAAATTTGTTGACGCACTTCTTTTTCTTGGTCGACCTCGGAAGTCTGTGAGTTTTATCGTTACCCTCTTAAAGAGCCAAGATCTTTTCTATTTTTAACTATAACAACAATTTTTTTCACTCTTAAAATAAAAGTTAGAACTAGACTAGCTCGCAGATAGTTAATGCTAATCTCGCCCGGCGAGTCTTCAAAAGCTACTAAGGTATCAAGTAATGAACACAGATAATCACATAGTTACATAAAAAAATCAATTTAAATACATTTGGAAATAAGAAATATTTTTTTCGTATTGTAAAGTGTCTTGTTTTCTTTTTCAGTTCTTTTCCTAATTACTTCACCCTCCGCAGTTCCTGATTGGTTGGTTATCTTAAGAATCCAAAGAAAAAATTCGATAACTCAGTGAGGTATCTAATTGCCAGTGATTGGTTCAGAAAGCCTGATGTATATTCATGACAAATCATAGGCTTCGCTGCATTTTAATCAGTCTTTCGACACTAAAAGCCGTTCTTCTGAAGCTGGCCAAATTGGTTCTATTTGCAAGAAGTTTAGGGAATTATGGTGAATAATTCAACTAAAGGTGAGTACAGCTTTCTGAAAATAGTGCGTATTTAATGGCTGTTACACTCGTTACTCAAAAAGACGAATTTAAATATCAAAATTTTCTTGAAAGTTAACTCCACGTGCTTATTCGGTTGGAACGTTCCTTCGACTAACGTTAAGACTTCCTTGTGGAATTAGCAAGCATAAAGCAAACACAAGTAATGTCGCATTTCCCGTGTACTATTCCTGACCCAAATTCTATCATTTTTGAATAGGCAGCCACGTTTTCGCTTTAATAAAACCGGTGCACCTATGTCATACGAATTTCAGCATTTCATATTAGATTCATGAATTATTTATTTTAACCTCTGACCGTTGTTGATATGACCTTAATTTTTATACTTTCTTCTCAGGAATACAAATTCATATCGAAGAAGGAGGCAGAGGGTTTTCTGCAAGATACAAGAAAACGGCGTGGATGGCATCATTGGATCCGAAGAGTTTGAAAGGCAAAGATAAGAAATTTAACTTAGTTTGATACGTCAGTGTGAGTGCTCTCCGAAAATTTTGGCTGACTCAATTTCGTGCATGTACTAGCCTTTTTGTCTCGATAAAACTTGCACGCTGGAAGAAATCTGTAGAACCTTGAATAAGGTAAACATAGAGCCAATTTTTTTTGGAGTAGAGATGTTATGTTTATCCGCGGAGAATTTGAACTTGGCAAGCGAGGTAAGCACATTGATCTTTAAAGGTGGCCATGTTATCTTGTCATTGTAGGGGCTTAGGGAAGGAAACAATGTCTGGTTCAGAGAAGGAGTATTTTCAAAAACGAAATACCGACACTAATCAATCATGGAGATACAATTAAAAAAAGAGAACCTAACTTGATTCAGTGTAATTTTGGTTTTATCAACTAAGTTGATAATTTAAATTGGCCACCGTAAAGAGTTTCAAAGCTGACGTTTCGAGCGCTAGCCCTTCGTCAGAGCGAATTTGATTCAGACACGTTAAAGGAAAGAAAACTTTTGGCGAATTGAGAATTGGAGAAGAAGATTTACCAGCAGAACAAACTTTCTGTCAGTTATTCAACAATGAATAAAAAGAATGAACACAACAGAGAAACGATTAAAATGTGAAAACGCTCCAGTTGCAATAAGTGGCTATAACCAGATATCGTTTCTTCTCATGCCCCATATTAGATTTAATGCAATGGCCTTTTTTTCCTGCCGGAAACCAAGAGAAACAAAACGACAAAAAATCGTCGAGACTGAATACAAACTTTTACACGGGAAATCCGCCTGATTTTCACCAAATTGAGATCGCCCTTGAAGGTAAATTAATGAGTGGCTCGCTAGGAGAGCGCGACAAAAAACACTCATGGCTAGAACTAAAAGCATAGACAACTGTCTCGGTTTCTGAGACTGACCATCTGAAAATTTGAAGCAACAAGAGGTCGCTTGTTTTGGCCTCCACCCCCAAAAAATCGTCAGAACTAGAGATAAAACCTAAAAAAGGCAAAAAATAGTGGTAGGTTCTTTTTCCAGCGCAATAGTTTCAAAGGTTTCCGCCTGTTTCTCTTGCTCTGGCTGAAAAAGGTCTTAAAAAAAAGTACGGCAAATTATAAATTGTCTCCAAAAAAAGTCTTTTTGGAAAAAAATCCGTCGAACGTAACAAGGGGTCTTGTGTTTGTATATGATGAAACCTGACTACAACATCCCTTGATTTCTAAGAATGACTTTCAATGCCTCGTTAAACCATTTCGCTAATCTAAATTGGATTGAAAATGTGCTGAACACCTTTAAGTCATTATTTAGTTAGTTTCTTCGAACTTGCCAGGAATATTTGTAGCGTTGGAACGACTAGCCAAATCCACATTGTTTTCATATTCTACTCAAAATATCACCAAAACATCAGTCTAACAACTTTAAAGCTCATAGGTGCGATTATTTCAAGGCAATGTAGTCCAGTTTCTGTCGGGTACAAACACTCTATCTTTGTCTGTTTTAAAATTGGCGTGAAAAAAAACTTAAAACCGATTCAAGTCTCAACGATTTATAGCTTGCCATACTTTACTCTATTAGAAATAACAACATGAGTACACCACTTAGTGCATGAAACCAAAAATGATGCATGGTTGACAATTGGATCTATAAGTAAAATCGAAAATGAAATCACATTTTCGCGACTTCGAATTTTCTTCTGCACGGAGTGGTGTACCATTAACTTTTGGCGGGAAAATTGTACGGAAGTCTTTTAAAAATGTTTGTCAGAAATGTTGTCAAGGGAAACGCTGTGCAAAGTCTACCAAATTTCCCGCCAAAAGTCTTAGTATCTATTTCAACCTAATTCATTTGAGGAGAATTGTATTATGAAAGGAGTTAATCAAGGATAAACAACATGAACGAAATAAAGATACAAAACATCTAGTAAATGAACTTTTATTTCAGTGCTATTAAAAAAAAAAAAACAGCGTATTTTGGGCGCCCGTATTTTTCCTAAGTCTTTTGGCTGGAAAATTAAACAATTTTCAAACAGAGTATAGAGAATGAAAAATTTTAAAAAGTGGCGCATGCGTATTTTAAGCGCTTGTATTTTTCCAAGTTTTTTAGCGGGAAAATTAACGCAATTTATACAGATGTTACCACGGGTACTTAAAATTGAAATTTCGTCTTAAAAGCCAACGCCTTCTGACACTAAGAAATTACTAACTTGTAAAGAACCCAATAAATTCCTCCATAGGATCTTGAAGAACAACAGCTCTTCCTTGCTCTAATCGTGGTGACTGGAGAAAACAACAAAAAAAAATTGTAAATGCAATTGCAATGAGCTGCCACTTACATGTTATGTTGACTTCGTGGATATCAAATAGCCTATACTATATGCTGATTCACATCGATAGCGCCTCCAATTCGTCTACAACATTTACTCCAAGAGATATTTGACGAACCTACATCAAAAACACTACCTTATTCGCTTTAAGACATTCCTTTACATAGTCTCTGTAATTCATTGGTTATTTGTTTTCGAAGTAGATTACGCAAAATTTTTCACCACGTATCTTTCTCCCCCTAAAGAAAAAATTTGCACATGTGCGCGTGCAAAAATAAAATGTAAATTTATTGCGCCGAGTCGGCTTGTCTGTGCATTCGCACAGAACAGACAATGAACTGATTTCCTATGCTTCTGAACATCATCAAACGAATTCCCTCGAGATGCTGTCTCGAATGTTTTGTTTATCTTAACCAATGGGCCAATATTCTTAAGCTGCATTTTGTCAGTCTGTGTATAGGAAGAATAGTAAAGCAAAAATCAACATATCAAAAAAGAATGTGTTCGTCAAATTCTGAACTGAGGTGTTCATTTTCCTTCAATACCTAATTCACGAAGCACGCGAAAACTAATGTACACGCTCGATTCAACGACACACTTGGTGCAATACTTAGGGGATCCATTTGTAATTACTCGAACCTATGTTTATCATCCTACGTTAAAATTCGACTAACCTTCATCGCAACTTCATCCCGAGTTTCGTTGACTCACTCCTGCTGTGTCTGTTTTTTTTTTTTCTGTGATGGTAGAACAGCTCCACTTCTGCATCTAGAGATAGAGGCAAAGAAACATCTTTTGTAAAATTGAGTCGCACCTACTCTCGTGAAATTCCCTCGACCAAGTGTGAAAGTGATGAAAAGCAAAGCACACATTCATTTCTACCAAATTAAGGCAAGATTCCGCACAGCCCCCTAAGAGGCATTTTACAGTTGTGTACTTAGTTGCCAAGCCTTTGATTCAGAGTGAGGCTAAAGATGACCTTGTTGTGATAGAGACCTGTATCTAGTTAGCATGATAACAAAGTGATTTACATTTGAAAGGCAGCAAGGTTTGTATCATAGCAAGGTCATCTCTAGTCTCACTCCCATTCAAAGGCTTGGCAACCAAGCACACAACTGTAAAATGGACTATTCACTATGCATTACTTTCTTAGATAAAGAAAACAATCGAGAATTTAATAGATTTCCTTGGACAACGATATTCATGCTGACGTCATTGTTTACATTTTTGCTCATTTGCATACGGCTTGGCGTAAAGAAGGAAGCATGTTAGATACAAATTGACTTCAGGCAGCTAAAGAGCTAGAAAACCTCAGT